AAATAACTGAATGACAGAGCACCCACCACCCACCCACTGACTGACTGACTGACTGACAGAGCACCCACCGACCGCTCACTGACTGACTGACTGTGGGTGGTTGGCGGATGCTCTGGTGTGGTTTGCTTTTTCTTTCCTACCAAACATGTCGTATCGTCTTTATCTCCCCTCCTTTTTTTGGTGTTTGTTACTCTCTTGTAACACCTCTAATCTTCGGCACTTATACGACCTTATTGTGTTGCAAGGGCCATAAAACTCTCACTAAAAACTAAAACTAAACAGACTGACTGACTGACTGACAGAGCACCCACCGCCCGCCCACTAACTGACCCACTGACTGACTGACAGCACCCAACGCCCGCCCACCACCTGACAGACCGACAAACCGACCCACTAACCGACCGACTGACTGACTGACCTCTGCACTGCAGGCCCTGTCGCACGAGGCCGTAGAGGAACTTGTCACACACGTGACATCGCTGCATGGAAGAGAAGTTGTACTCAGCGAACCGGTGCTCAGAATCGCCCGCGGCCGCTGGGGGGAGCACACACAAACAAGAACAATGCATCAAAATTTATACAGCAATAACCACAAACACTATTGTAAAAAAATAATTAACATTTAGCTATCATTCATAATGATATAATAACATTAATGCAATCATTCATAATGATATAATAACACTATTGCAATCATTCATAATGATATAATAACAATGATAAAAATTAATTTAACATTAGAAATAATGTTATAACATTATTTAAAAAATGAACCCAATACTAGCGATAACGTTATTTTAATAAATTCAACATCAGCAACAACAAGACATGGAACGTATTGCAATATCCTTAAGCGCCCCAACAATGAATTTAACATTAGAAATAAAGCTTTAAAATAAATGTAGCAATAGCAACAAAGTTATATGAATAGATTCAAAAATAGCAATAGCATGAAATGTACCGCAATAACCCATAGTAGCGTTGTATAAATAGATCTGATAGTAGCAATAAAGTTATGAAATATATCCAACATAAGTAAAAACGTGATGAAAATAAATTAAACGTTAGCCAAAGCAAGACAGAGTAAAATCGTAATAGTCAAAAACAAAACAAAACAACAAAACAAAACAACAAAACAACAAAACAAAAAGAAGGAGACATAAAATTATAAAAAGTAACATAAAACAAGACATGGAATAAAATTGTAGAATAAACACATAAAAAACAACAACTAAATGACATAATATAATAATAATTTAATCGTAGACTAAAACAACAAATATAATAAA